GACTGGAGATGCAATTTGCATTGGTTGCCAGCACTCAACTTGCTGTGGACAAAAACACACGGGAAATATCTGACGTGAGGCTATCCATAAACTAGTTTTCTACCCAGCTCAATGACATTAATGCCAAGCTCTCGATGATTATTAATCAACCTTCCCGTTCTACTAACCTTGAAGTTGGTGAACCTTCCTAAGCTCCCGTTGCGACAACTACACTACCTCGACCAGTGGCTTTGACCCCTCCCCCACCAATCAATATTCCCCCACCCTCATTTTCTAGACCAACCACATCCTCTGCAACATCTCCTCCCCCTCCCCTTTTAACTCCACCACCTTAGTTTGGATCTTTCCAAAGACTTATCCCTACCCTTCAACCTTCTTACTCTATTCCAACCAAGCACAGCAGGGTAGAGTTTCCAAAATTTGATGGTATAGATTTCAAAGGTTGGGCTTACAAGTGTCGCCAATTTTTTGGTGTGGATGAAATGCCTATAGAGCATCGCATTCGTCTTCTCAATATTCATTTGGAGAAGCGTGCCTTGCGTTGGCATCTCGCTTTTGTAAAACAGAGGCGTTTGTCGGACCTCTCTTGGGATGAATATTTTCATGAGTTGGAAGCTAAGGTTGGGGATGTCAAGGATGAAAACCTCATGATTGCTATTAAGAAGCTTCAGATGCAAGAGTTTGTGGAAGAATATGAAGAGAAATTTGATGAGTTGCTCATCGAAGTTGACTTATCCAAAGATGCTGCCATGAATTGTTATATTGGTGGACTTAGGAGTGACGTGCAACAGAGTGTTCTTAGTCTACAACCCACATCTTTGGCTAGTGCAATGAAAATGACGAGATGCCAGGTTGCAACGATTAAGGCTATTCATGAGAATGCTCCCCCTTCAATGTTGCGTAAGCCTTTTCACACCTCCCCCTCAACGTTTTCTGCGTCAGCTGCTGCTTGATTTTTGCCTTCATCTCTATCGGGGCACAAAACCAACCTAAGCCCCAACTCTCTTTTGTCTTCGGGCCCTACTATTGATAAGCCTAAATCGTTCAATTCCACCCGTCTATCAAGTTCAGCTTCGTCCAGATCCATTAAGCAACTCTCTAAGCAAGAGATGGATGAACAACATTGCAAGGGGCTTTGTTATTGGTGTAACGAAAAATATAGCAGCACCCATAGATGCTGAGATTTCCATATCTTTGCCCTTATCATCGAAGATGATTTAGAACTCTTTGAAGATGCATTAGAAGAGATCGAACCTCTACCCTCTATAGGAATGGTGAACGCGATTGAGGGCAGAGAAGGCACGTCTACGCTACATCTCACTGGCCGCATAAAACGACAAAGTGTCGTTATCCTAATTGACACAAGAAGCATGCATAATGTCATAGATTCAAGGGTAGCTAAACGGCTTAAATTGAAGGTTCAAGAACGAGAGGGCATTCGAATTACTGTTGCGGGTAATCGGTTGCTATTAGTCTCCAAATGTTGTTCGAATCTAGAATGGGAAATGGGGGCTTCTTTCTTTTCTTCTGATTTTTTAATCATAAAGATTGGGGCGTTTGATATGATTTTGGGTGCTCAATGGCTCAAAACTTTAGGGCGTTTCTCCATGGACATGGCAAAGCATCTATTTGAATTTCATTCGAACGTTCAATTAATTGCACTAAAGGGCATGAGCTACAGAACACTGAAGCCCATTATGCACATGAGTCTCTTTGATTGTGATAAAACCATGGCTGATCACCTCTACCTCATTCATGTTCCTCAACATTTGTAGGTCCAATTACCTTGCAACTCTTCTCTTTCTTCTTAGCGAAACCAATTGCACAATCTACTTGACTTCTTCACTGATGTTTTTACCGAACCATCTACCCTGCCACCTTCTCATTCATTTGACCATTCCATTCCCCTTAAAGTGGACCAACCTGTGAGTTGTAGACCTTACTGATATGGACCTGTTCAAAAATCTTAGATTGAACAGCAAGTGCAACAGATGCTTGATAATGAAATCATACAAGAAAGCAATAGTTCTTTTGCAGCCCCTGTTGTTCTAGTGCAAAAAAAAAAAAAGAAGAAAAAGATGGCACATGGCGTTTCTGTGTTGATTATAGAAGATTAAATGAAGCCACTGTTAAGAACAAATTTCCTATTCCAATTATTTAAGAACTCTTGGACAAACTTACTGGAGCACAGTTTTTCTCTAAGTTGGATTTAAGAGTTGGTTACCACCAGGTTCGAATGAATGAAGCTGATATTGCTAAAACAGCCTTTCGCACACATGAAGGCTATATGAAGTCATGCTCATGCCATTTGGCCTCACTAATGTGCCCGCTACTTTTCAAGGCCTTATGAATTTGGTTTTCAAACCTTTCTTGTGGAAGTTTATTCTGGTTTTCTTTGATGATATCTTGGTCTATAGCAAACATTGGGCAGCCCACTTGGAGCATTTGAGAGCGACCTTATCACTCTTGCGGTAGCATCAACTCTTTGCTAAGGCCTCCAAATGCACTTTTGCGGCAACATAGATGTATTATCTTGGTCATGTCATCAAGATCAATAGGGTTCAAGCATACCCGAAGAAGTTAGAAGCCATAGCTTCTTGGCCCGTCCCTTCTTCTGTTAAACACCTGAGAGGTTTCCTTAGCCTTACAAGGTATTATCGGTGCTTTGTCAAAAGATATGGTTCTATTGGCAGTCCCCTAAGTGCTTGCTCATCCCAATTTTAATGAGACCTTTGTGATCGAGATCGATGCTTCAGGGCATGGATTGGGAGCAATATTATCCCAAAATGGCCATCCTTTGGCTTTTGCTAGTAAGCCACTTTCTTCACGTAAGAGATAATTGTTTGCTTATGAATGTGAATTGTTGGCCATTGTTTTTGCTGTCAAGCAGTGGGGTTCTTATCTTTGGGGCACAAGTTCATCATCCATACTAACCATTTGCCTTTGAAACATCTCTTAGAACAATGTGACTTGAGCCAAGAGTAGTGCAAGTGGTTGCATAAGCTTTGGGGGCTAGACTATGAAATCGTTTACCACAAAGGGTGTTATAATGCCGCAGCTAATGCGTTATCTAGGCACTCAGAGGGGGACTGTTTGGCCATTTCAATGCTTATTTCACCATTATATGAAAAGGTACGCGATTCTTGGCTTCTTGATGACCATTTACAGTAGCTAATTAAAAGTCTAGAAACTAATCCCTTGTCTTATCCTAAGTACACTTGGGAACATCAATTGTTGAAACAGAAGGGTGAGCTTGTGGTGGGTGCTGATCGAGTCTTCGAGAAGATTTACTTTAGTTTTTTCATGCTAATGGCGTTGGGGGCCATTTTGGTATGACCCCAACCTACAAACGGCTTGCCTCCTTCTTTTATTCAAAAGGAATGGAGAAGGATGTTTGCAATTTTGTGTGTCAATGTACTACATGTCAGCGCTTTAAACCAAAATTAATTGCTGCCCTTGGTCTTCTCCAACCCTTACCCATCCCTGAACATGTTTGAACATGTTTGGTCTGAGCTCTCAATGGACTTTATTAGTGGCCTTCCCAAATACTATTCTAATGCTACTGTCTTAGTTGTGGTTCATCGCTTATCTAAGGCTGCTCATTTCTTGGCTCTCAAGCACCCGTTTACTGTTGTGGATGTGGCCAATATTTTCATGGATAATGTGGTCAAGTTGCATGGGTTTCCTAAATCTATTGTTTTGGACCGAGATCCTATTTTATGTCGGAAATTCTGAAAGGAACTCGCATGGTTGTATGGGGTCAAATTACAATTTTCTTCAGCATACCATCCCCAAACGGATGGCCAAATTGAGGTACTCAACTGCTGTTTGGAGTGCTACCTCTATTGCATGATAGGAGATTTCCCTCAACAATGGGTTAAGTGGCTGCCACTTACTGAATTATGGTACAATACTACTTTCTACTCTTCAATTGGGATGTCCCCCTTTGAAGCAGTTTATGGGATGCCTCCTCCTACTCATCTACCTTACATTGCTGGTGATTCATCTAATAAAATGGTTGATAGAACTTATAATTCACAAGAGCTTACTATTGAGCTTCTGAAACAACACCTAGTGAAGGCTCAACATAGGATAATTCAACAAGCCAATAATCACTGGTCCGAGTGTTAAGTTTGTTGAAGGAGACACGGTTTTTCTCAAACTACACCTCCTTTAGGAAGAATCTCTTGATCAACTCTTCCTTGCATAAGTTGGCTGCTCGTCACTTTGGACCATTCAAAGTGATAAGGCGTATTGAGAAAGTTGTATATGAGCTGGACCTTCTCCCTAACGCTAAGGTCCACCTGTTTTTTCATGTTTCATTGTTAAAAAAGTATGTTAGCCTGGCTGTCCCCACTAACCCCACCTTACCTCCGGTGGATGATCATAGTCAATTTATGCTAGAACCGGAGGAATTACTGGGAAGGAAAATCATTAAGTGCCATAATCTACCAGTGACTCAATTGTTGGTTCGTTGGAAATTTTCTCACTCCGAAGATGCTACTTGGGAAGATCTTTAAGCCATAAAACAGCAGTACCCTCACTTTAAGACACATGCTCCAGCTTCTACCACTATCCTTGTGGACAAGGATGTTTTTTAAAGGGGGAGTATTGTTACAGATTACTGCTGTTTCATAGTTATTTGATGGCTTTATTGTCTTTATGCTGATAGGTTATTATTGTCTTTTTATATATTACTGCATTATAGGTTAGTTATTGACAGTATAGGACCTTACCTTTTGGGACACGTGTCTAGGTTTAGGGTATATCTTGTATCCTTCCTCCTTGGCACATTTTTGTGAATGAAATCAGTCTCTTCTCTCCCTTCTTTCTCTCTTCCCTTAACAATACCTCTCCACCAGATTCTGTCTGGCTTCCTTCTGGGTTCTGGACAGTCTGATCACAATCCTCAAAGTGGCCATCATCATTAGTATTACCACCAACAGACACGTTTTCAGGCTGTTCTGTTATTGATTCAGGTTTACCTGGTGCATTTTCAGGCTAGGTCATGGGCTGAAGATATGATGGCTGAAGATATGAAGGGTGGACAGGTTGGTGAGACTCATAAAATGGCCATTCTTGTGCGTTTAGTCCCTGATGATGGTAGCACTTGTACCCTTTCTGTGTTTGAGAATAACCTATGAATGCACACTTTAAGGTTCAGGTTTCATGTTTGGAGGCATGAGAGGTGTGAATGTAAGGTGTTCATCCAAACACTGAGTGGTAGTGTGTTCATGATCAAGGTGGTAGGATAAGTTTCAAGCAGAATCAGTTGTGGTGTTTTTGAAATTTAAGGTTTTTTGAGGGAGATTGATTGATTAATTAGGCAGAGGTGAGAACATCATCCCAAAAATGGCTAGGGACATTTGCAGCTGGTGAAAGAGACCGTGCCATGTCAAGAATTCGTCTATTTTTGTTTTTTTTGGAGACACTATTCTGATTTAAAAACACTGTTCTTGCTGGTACAGTTCACAGAATAACACAAAATGATCCTAAAACTCCGTTCTCCTTCCTGCAGATAGCCCTTGCCTTCACATGCGGGTGTGTGGGTTCAAATCAAACTATTTTCTTTGCTAAGGCCGCCTAAGAAAATCCTTGATTTTAGCCTCCTAAGTCTTGAGCCTTCCACAATCCCACATAAAACAACCTTAGAGATCATGTTCTTTTATTTGTAAAAATCAACGAGGATGAGATTTGGCATGTACATGACGAGAGGAATCTGATCCTGACATTATGAAAAATGGGTTTGATGTAAAACACAAACACTCACGCTCACACTGATTTGAACAGAATAGGATAAGGGAGAAGAAACAGAAACAGAGAGTGGGAGGTGGAGGGGAAGTGAGAACAGAGAAGGTGAAAAGAGAGAAAAGTGACTGAAATATGAGAGGAAGAACAGAAGAGAGATGCAGAACTGAAGAGAGGGAGGGAGCTTTCAGAAAATCATAATGCTTCAAACATTCATTCCCCTTCCTGACATTAATGCAAGAAGAACATCCTTGTCAGAGATTTCATGCCCAGTATCGCTTGCACCAACAACATTTGGATTGTTGTTTATGAGGACGCTTTGAGTCTTATCTTTTCTCCCTCCCCTGTTCGAATTTTTTGTTGCAAACTGCAATCTTTCTTGTTTGGTGCACAACTGGAAGAATTTTTCTTCGAAGTTCAATTAATTAACAACTTATAAAAGCTTAAATTCCATCAACATACATAAATTTTCTAGATTACTAAAGAACCAATACAGAGCACGTGATTATGAAATTTGGGATCTTTTGCCGTCAATCTTGGAGCTTGAGTTTCAAAATTTTCCTCCACCTCCTCCTCCATTTATTGCATTGTTGCAGTTCTTGATTCTACAATTCTTTATTCCTTAATTCATTATGGGTCGAAGAAATCCCTCTTGTCTCTAGTTTAAATTACAGAACCACACGGCAATTAATTCTCACTGTAAGGATCGGAGAATACACAGAAATGTGACAGTTAGCTAGCTTAGTTACCTAGTGACCCCTCTTTAAGCCAAGGTTCTTCATCCACCATTACTGGCGGAAGAGCTCGAGCTTGAGGATTGCTCCTCCTGCGACTTTAGCAGCCTTGTTGGTCCCCAAGAACAAATGAAGACCCGGATCCTGATAATGATTCTCTAGAGAGAAGATGCAGACCCAGAAATCTGATTGGGGTTAGGGTCTAAGATGATGATTTTATTTGAGAAAATGCAGACCGAGAAACCTAGCAGAATATACAAGAGGAGGAGGTAGCTCATTGCACTGAAAACGGTTGCCGAAGATGGAAGGTTGTGGCTTGTAGTTTTGATGATGTTGCCCTGAAGAAGCCATGGCTACGTTGCTCCACATCATTGCCATAGACGATGCCACCATCATGGCTGCCACCATCAAGATTCAAACAATATTCATGGGTTAAATAAAACTCTAAAGAGGGTGTGGGACGTTTACTATTGAAGAAATCTATGGAGGTGAAGAGCCAAAGAAGGTGAGGGAATGGCGGCTTATGATTCCTCTGTTGTTGGTGCTACAAGGGTGTTCGAAGAAGGGGACTAGGGAATCAATGATTGAGCTACGTCTCTCTATTTTTGTCCACGTGCGTCAAAGTCATCTTTATCTTACCACACGTGCATCTCTTGGTCAAAGCAGCTTGTTTATCAGTCAAAGTTAATGGTGAGGCTGACATTGCATCATTTTTTAGAGCTTCAAGGCAACATTGCACCTAATAGAAGTTAGGATATTTGGAGTAAAAGTTCCGGGGCAAATATGCCCTTCAACCTTTATGAAAATCTAGGGCCTGTTTGTTTAAGATTAAAAATTTGTGACTTAGGTAGTTTAGAGATTTTATAGAAAGAGATTTATTTTGTAGAGATTTTATAAAAAGTAGACATTATTTTATGTTTGATTACAATAATTAAAAAGTGATTATTAGTTATTATTTTTAAATTTTATGATATTTTTCTTGATTTTTATTTTATAAAAATGATCTAATATTATATTATTTTATGTGCATCCTACCTCTTTAAAACATTCTCACATCTATCACATTAGATTATTTTCAGAAGTCACTCAAAGTAGCTTTTTTAAATAATAAAAAATCTGCTATTTTTCAGATTAAGATTATTTTCAAAATTTTAAACAAACATAATAAAAACTCACAAAATAATTTTTTTTTCCCAAACAATAAGTGATTTTTTCATAAAATAAACTAAAACAAACAGCCCTTAATCTCTCAATCTTATTTTAAAGGTTGTGAAGATGATTGTCTACAAAGTAACGTAGATTTGCTCAGTTATTTAATCTTGTTTTGGTTTGTCTGTATTCTCAAAACTAAGTTGAAAAGGAACAAGTGGTTTCTTAAGCCATGACTTGCTATCATAAAACCATTTATTTTGAATAAATTCGCTGTCCTAAGACGATTGATTGTGTACAAGTTTCTAGATCTTAACATAGTTTTATGTGCAGTTTGCTGTACTGTACGAGGCCCGTGCGAATAGTGGTATTGACAGGATGAAGATTATTGACGCTGTTGCAAGATCAGTTCCTGGACCACATAAAGTTGATCTTAAAAATCCTGACAAAACCATCGTAGTTGAAATTGTCAAGGTAAGAAAGCCACGCTCTTGCTGAAGTATAATTTGAATGTCATGCTCATATTGAGTTTAAAAAAGCCAAGATCGTGTTAAAATACATTTTAAATTGTGTTGTCACTGCTTTGGTGATAGCCTTGTAGCCATTTCTTGTCTTCATACCATAATGTTAGACCAAAAAGCCAGTGAAGTGAACTGTGTTGAACTTTTTATATTAAGTATGCTTGAGAGTGGTCTATTTCACTAAAATAGTTTAAGCTGTTTGGTTAGATACACTCCAAATTTTATATATTCCTAACATATCTTCTAATTTTAAGATGTGGGATTTCTTTGACTTCTTTATCTCTATTCCTTCTACATTTCTTTTGTACTTTTTTTTTACTCAGATGCTTCAGGTTTATTCAATTTTTTTCTTCTTTTTGCCTAGATTTGTACTTTTTTTTTAGTCTCAAGAGACCCAGGTTTCCTCCTCCTCCTTGCTCTCTCTCTCTCTCTCTCTAATCTGCTTTTTTTCCCCCATATTTCATTCTTTCTTTCTCTCTCTGTTTTTTTTTTTTTTGTTGTCCCCGATCGAATGGCTTATGATATCGTGTTAAATTATTTATGCTAAGTATACTTGAAGGTAAGTCTACTTCATCAAAATAATTTAAGCCATTTGGCCCCAAGTTTTATATATTCCTAATATATTTCTTTTTATTTTCGGTGAAATAATATATCTTTTTATTTTTAAATGTGGGATTTCTTAGACTTCTTTATTTCTCTAATAAACTGGCCGCAGTTTTCAGTCTGCCCAATTGCTTGCCAAATGAGACCGGATCAAGAACCAATAAAACTTTTGTTATTCTTAATCAGACATTTATTCTAATTAATTAATTAATTAATTAATGAACTTTACGTGATTTGCGACCATACACAAAACGGAGTCATAATGTGCATCTGCATCTCATTTCCAATTCAGTGACCTGTCAGCTTTAAAACATACTATAAATAATGTTATTGTTTTTTCCCTCAAGTAAGAGTTTAGATTCAACTATAGTGTTATTTATTTATTTCTTTTTTGGCCAGCATAGTGTTATTGTTTTTAAAATTTTCTTCTTAGACATATCTAAAACCAACCTATTTAATTATTTTCTTATTTATTTTCCAGACTGTATGCTTGGTCGGCGTCATTGAAAAATACAAGGAATTAGCCAAGTATAATATCAGGCAGTTAACATCGACAAAAGGCTGAATGGTACGCGAAGTTGCTTCAATTTGTTCATTCTCTTCCTAGTTAGCAAACTGTTCGTATAATTATTACTGTATTTTTTTATTACACAATTATTATGTATTTTATTACTGAATCTTGAGATTATTAAAGCTGTAATCTTAGGAATTTCTAGTTTAAGAACCCTTTTTATATCTATCATGTTACTGAAGCAGATTTGGATGCAATTCTCCTCGGATTTTGTTGTTATTTTTTACTATTAACATTTTTTTATTTCTAAAGGAAATATGTTTTGTAATTGATGTGGTGCATGGGATAAATAGTAACCTGATAAAAACCTGTTGACAAAGAATGCATTGATTAGAACAAAATTTAACTTGATAATGTTAGAGACAATCACAATTAAGGACTTGGGGAAATTTTTAATGACGATCGAGGACATAAAATTTTCAAATTGAACTCAAGGACCATGATTTTTCTCTCTCCAGTTTAAAAATAATCTTGTACAAAGCACCTCTGCAATGCACAATAAAAAGTTAAATTGTTTTTTTTTAAGGTAGAAAATTCTTCAACCATGGCTATGGTAAAAACCATTTTCCTCCTTAGCCCACCTCTTTGTCTCTCTACATTCTCCATGTCTTCAACCATTTTGGCCGCTCTTTCATTTTTCGTCAACATTAAGTTTGGAAAATTGCATTTAAGGACCATTGAATTATGTTATTTGCAGACAATGATCAATAAATTTTGAATTAGCAATGAGGATTGATATAAAAATAAGATTGAAGTTGAAATGACAAAAATAACCCTTATGAATTTAAAGGAAGTACATCTAAAATGACAAATCATCATTCAAGGAAAAATAAGTCTTTGTTTCATTTTAACAATTCCCTCTTCTATTTTCTACGCTTGTTAAACAAGGAATTGATTTCTATTAAAATGAAACAATAACTATCGAAACTCATGAGGTAATCCAGTCATTTCATTTGAAAATACATAGAAATTCACTCACTGCCTCGATCTTCTCTGTACCACCATCATAAACTGTACTAGAGGCAAAGAACATTATATACACATCACAACCCTACTAGATCAACTTTTTTGCACTAAACACCGATAATAACTTAAACTGCTCAAAAAAATCCACTGCTGCAGATAACATTGGCAATGAAACCATCTTTCTAGCACAATCAAGCGTAGCAACATGCCAATAATTACATCTACTCCCTTCATAGGAATATATATTAGATCGACCTTAGAAACTCCACCCTCAAACCAAATCTCCACACCCTGACAGGCTTTACTAGTGATATTGGAAGATCTCGAAGGCGTAGTTACTTTAATAAGTATGGGTAACTCTTGCAAAGACAATCTCAATCTATCCACACACTCCTCAGACATAAAGGAATGTGTGGCACTAGAATCAAACATGGCCTTAACTTGATGATCACAAATATAAATCATACCTCAGATCATGTTCGGAGACACTCTAGCCTCTTTGTGTGTGACTGAAAAATACTCAATCAGGAATGGTAGATCGTTGCTCGATCCCTTCAACTCTGCCCTTCGGGCATTGCCATGACAAATGTCTCGACTTGACACACTTGAAACAAGCCCAACATCTACCTGTATGAGATCGGCCACAACTAATACACTGGGGTGATCTCTCTGCAATCAGTGTCAGCCCTGGAACATTGGATGCTTGCCTCAAAGATTGTGGAGGGCCAATTATCACACCTCCAATCCTCTAAATTAATCCCCTCTGCATTGAATGAGATTGAGATCCTCTAATAAAATTGTTCCTTCTAGATGAATTGAAACTACTAGAACTGTACCCAGGCTTCTTCAAAACTCTGCCTGGCAGACCCAGAGGGCATGAAAATCTCCCCAGACTGTCTTGCCTTCTCTCAGCTTCAACCTCTCTACCTCTCTTGGGTTGCTACTCTCAATTTGTGACACATGTCGTCATGTCAAATAGTGGATTTGTTGCCAGTACTCGGGTCTCATCTTTTCTAATAGCCTCTTTGCCTTCCGCTTGGTGTCAGCTGTGTTGGAGGTATGTAGAGTAAGCAGACAAATCATTGAATCTTTTAATAAATTCCTTCTCATCCAAATCTCCTTATCTAAATGCATGGAATTCCTCCTTTTTCTCAGTTCTGAATGAGACTAGAAAGTACTAATCAAAGAACATTTTCTTAAACACCTTCCAAGTCAAATGAGTACTACTAGACGGCCTCATTGATTCCTACCACCTCTTTATAGCTCCAACTAATTGCACAGTGGCTAAAATTACCTTCTCCTCAAACATCATAACTCTGCATTGCCCTCTTTCATATTACCACCAAAAGTAGGTGGGCTGAATTGGATGAAAGTCTTCCAAGCATGATCTATAGATGGACCAGTGCCAGGAACCTCTTGTTTGCTACCCAAACCCTGAGATGGTCCAGGCCTATTCTGTGCTCCCTCTTGCATTGGTATACCTTAACCCTCAACTCTCTCTTCTTGTCCTCTACCTCTCAAGTTGTATCATGATCTCAGACTATTTGCCTGATATCCACACCATATTTCTAAGCTCTTCCAACAACTCATCCCACCTATCTCTTGGTTGTGGCTTAACTAGTTAGACTTCCGACTCTTACTCCTTCTCATTAACCCATCTAGAATAAGCAATTCTAGCACGAGTACCTCTCTATTGGATAGGGAGGCACAGTAGAAGATTAAAATTTTAAAGTCCATATCAGGACAAACTCGTTTAAGTCAAGGTGTATAGAAGAGTTACCTTTTAATTCTTTGAACTTGGCGCATGTTCTCTTTAAGAGTTTGGATCTCATGAGCTAATAACGTAGATTTGCTTCCTCTACCAGTATCCACACGAATAGCTCTCTAACTCGAACAACATGCTAGCGCTCCCAGCGTTCGTTCTTCTTTGAATGTTATTTTTCCTTTTTATAGGGTGTTTCGTGGCTCTGAACGTATTTTTGTCGTTAGAACTTTTCTAACTCTCTCATCCTTTATAAAGGATGCCCCTATCTATATATAGTATATAGATAAGAGTTCTCGTCTTCCACTTAAAAGGCCCATGAAAATATAATTAAATTTATCTCATAAATTTAATCCATGATATCACATCTAATTTGAATTTATCTTATAAATTCAAATTATAAAACTGACATGATATTCTCTCATATCATGTTAGTTATTAAATTTAATCTATCATATAAAATTAAATTTAAAACTAACATAACATAATATAATATAATATAATATAATATAATATAATATAATATATATCACATATACATATTATATATTATATATTATATATATATTTCGAATATATATATATATATTATATTTAATTTTATATCATATATATATATGCATATGAATATATATATATAGAAAATTATATTTTGAATTTTATATAAATATATAAAATATATAAATATTTATCAAATAAATATTTAAACATATATATATATAATTCATTCACCTTATATTATATTCATTGAATCTAAACATATTTTAGATTCAATGAACTTGGACATTATAGCTTGAGTTGGGCTATTCTTATATGTGACCCTATAGGCCCATATGAAATTGGTAATAGGCTAATTATGCTATTAGCCCACAAGTCACAACTGACATCTAGCAAGACATTGCAACTTCCAAATTCACATGGGGATTGATAATCCGATGTAACCTATCATGCAACCATATCACATCCTTTTTGTTAGGCGATATTTCAGTCAAGTATGAGACATGGAATTGTTATTCTCCTTTACCTGACTGTTACTTTCTCGAACTGAGTAGACTGACAGTAGCAATGGAAAAACCCTTTCCATTATAGTATGGCCATACATTTTCTCAGTTTTACTCATCGAGGGGCCCAATAATATCTCTCACTTAACGTGAGAGACAAATTCCATCTTGACCACTCATATTCCTCTGCACGAATATTACTAAACTCAATCATAGCCTTTATGATCACTCGATTAAAGGTAACTTTTGACTAGGTCAAAATTCAGTGGTCATCATGTAGGAATCAATGGTGATCTCGGGTCAAAAGGCTTAGTGATATAGTTACATATAAGATAAGCTTATGACTTGTACCATGCAGCTTTCTCATAGCGGGTCAGTCCAGCACCTTGTACTCTTTTAAGTGCCTATGACTTTAATTTGTATCTTTATAATTAATTAAAGTCATACTAGTTTTGTTTCATCTATGATCCCTCAAAGATGACCAACTAAGGACATTTAGGACAATCATTATAGTTTGTCCAAGGATACAATTATCATATTGAACATGCAATTGATATAATAACAAAAGAGAAATTCATTAAATAACAATGTGCATAGTATAATGATTGGCCCTAGGGCACAATTTTCAACATCCTCTCCTACTTGTATTAGGTATAATCATTAATTTGTCTAATTCCCATTGTCCTGACATGATGATCATGCTTTACCTGTGTAAGAGGCTTTGTAAGTGGATCAGCAATATTGTCTTTTCATGCTATTTTGCATATTTTTATATCACATCTATCATTAATCTCTCTGATAAGGTAAAAATGCTTGAGTAGATGCTTAGTCTTTTGGTGTGACCTTGGATCCTTGCTCTGTGCAATTGCACCATTATTGTCACAGAATAAGTTTGATCTGAGATGCTAGGCACTACTCCTAGTTCAGCAATGAACTTCCTGATCTAAATGGCTTCTTTAACTGTATTTGAACAAGGTTAATTAATGTTTTGAATGAATCCAAACTCTTTGATTACTTTATCAAAGCGTTGATTCTAGCTCTGAGATGCTTGCTTTAATCTATAAATGAATCTTTGAAGCTTGCACAACTTTCTAGAGTCCTCTGGACACACAAAACCTTCAGGTTGTGTCATGTACACTTCCTCAAGTACATGTCCATTAAGGAATGTTGTTTTAACATCCATCTACCATATTTCATAGTCATAATATGTTGCAATGGCAAGGAGGATTCTAATGATTTAGCCATTGCAACTGGTGAAAAGGTTTCATCATAGTCTATACCATGAGTTTGGGTGAATCCTTTTGCAACCAATCATGCCTTGAAAACATTTACTTTGCCATTCATGTTAGTTTTCTCCTTAAAAACCGACTTGCACGTAATGGTTTTTATTCCTTCAAGTGGATCGATTAAGGTCCATACTTAATTATTGTACATGGATTGCATTCAGACTTCATGGCATTTAGCCATT